AGATCAATGAGATTACATCCGACCCTCTCTGTCTAATAGACAAAGCAAAAACTGGTCCTTGACCTCTAGCTGGCATAGTCCCTAGCATGAGTACCACCCGCGTTGCATACGACTCGAATCTGCATACCACTACCAGAAGTCTTTGACGAGCCATTTGTCATGACCACCACAGGGAAGACAGTGGAGACTGCGCGAAAACACCCCTCTTCACCCAATTAATGAATTAAATAAAAAGGAAAGACCCCTCTTCGCCCACGACGGTGGGAGAACGCAACAGAACACTTCTGTTAATAACAGCAGCAGAACACCCCAGGCCTATTGACACCTAGGACAACTGACAAAGCAAACAAGTAGCATCACTGACCCCCCACAAAGCACCCACCCTGAAAAATGCGGACATACACATGGCAACCAGCTACTCATAGTTGGCTAGGCACAGACACCGAACCCCATATTATGCTCAGGGGCGAACGTTTGTATCTTTTCGCTGGTGCTGGTCAAGAGCAAGTGATGTGCTGTGACTGGCGAGAAAATCCTGATCAGGAATTCGGGGCTGGCCAAGAAAGGCCTACCTTGGCTCCCTATGCTAGACTACACAGTGTCTTCCGGTGGGACCTGACGACCGATATATCCCCTTACCTGCTCTTTAGGCATCTGGGACAATGGATCTAGCTATTTCTCAGTAGAGTGCTCTGCTTAGTTGAATAGGCTCCACTAAGTAAAACAGCGGGCAGGTCAATCGCATCTTGGCCACCTCTATCGGTAACACCAACTCCTTGCTCTCCACCACCAGCATCACTAGTTCTCGCCCCGCTACCCCGACCAGGGGGAGGTTCTTGTTCACCCCGCGGCCAGCCAATAATATTTATAATTTATCACACCTCCAAGAGAAATTACCCGCACTCCCCCAGCTCCACCGGTAGAGACATCCGTACCGTCACCCAGAATTATAATTTCTTGGCCGTTGTTTGTAACGTATAAAAACGGTGACGGTCTAATGTGCTCCACGATACCGCTCGAGACAGGCCAAGGTGCAGTCTTGTCTCGGCTTGTGAAATGAGGGGGCCAGCCTCATCTCCCGCCCGTGCCGAGACAGGCTTGGAAAGTCGAGTGAGTAGCCGTGAGCCAAGACCACCTAATCTAAGCTTTCAAAGGAACCGTTTCTTAGTCTCCCAGCCAAACAGTTCGCTGATGACCTTTAGAAATCCTTGATAGACTCGCATATATATTCTTAAGAATTGACAACTGACACCTGCTGAGGGGAGTCGTGGATTGGAGCGCGCTACTAACCAATTTCTTACTGGTATTCGGTATTCATGGCGCTATGCCTCTTGGCAGATTTCAAGCAGGCCTCGAGACCAAAAATATTTGGTGTCGAGCTATTCGAGATAAGAGTCTCAAGACAAGATTTCAAAGCTCAAGACCTCTCTTCTATTACTCTCAGTCTCTACCTACGGCTCGACCCGTGACTTTTGGGGACTAACCAAACCCGTCACGCTAATAGGCCGTGCAAAGCCGACGACTCGGCGGCCCGGCGGTTGATAATCTGGGCGCGGGGCCGACGATACACAAGCACGTAGGTGGCGAAGTGGAGCGGACAGCTCTTTGGCGGGAGTTTGCTGGGTGGTACAGGTACCCCAGGGGGAAGAGTTCACAAGAAAACTAACGGCCGCCGAGTGATCTTGGGTGATCCCAATCTACCGAAACCCCGCAGACAACCGGGCGAAAAGTCCCCACCAGTCAACACTTATCCCGACTCCTATATAGACCGGTATTGGCCCTTAGCTCTCAATTCAACTAACAGCAGCTCCCTCAATCTAAGCGGCTCAACGCAACGATGAGATGAGATCTCTGTAGTAATCACCAGCCCGAAGCAACTCCTACCTGCGAGCAGAGAAAAGCCACACCAGTAGAGCAGCGGTAGCAGTGGGGGGCAGAACTAAAGTAAAGTAAAATACCAAGCACCCCTGACGGAATATACCGCCCCACTCCACCTCACGTGGACCCTAACCCACACATAATCAAAATTACTTTGCGGGTTAACTAACTAGTCGGGATGATCCCAGGTAAGAGATTTTTGACGAGGCAGGGGGGTGGAAGGGAGAAAAATGGCTTCGAGTGATATTGTGTGATTGAGGAACGCCCCTAACTACAAAGGAAAAAGGAAAAAGGGAAAAAAAAGAAAAATGTCAAACGTACAGCCGCATTCGAAAAGTACTGGCACCCTACTATATTGAGTCGTTCATGAATTGTAGCCCACCAACAACCATGGCACTCGGGTATACTCAACTTATTGACAGGTATGACCGCAATAGAGACATTGCAGCTCTCTGATAACGGTCTCGAATATGAGAATTGCAAAGTAGAAAGGACTGCCTCGTGAGTTTAGCCCGGAGGTGCCAAAACTTTTCGAACGCGGCTGTACATAGATACGTAGAGTAGAGCAAGAAAGAAAAAGAAAAAAAAAACGGTTAAAAAAAATGGCAAAGTCAAAATACCCTCCCTCCAGATCCCAAAGACTCCATGTAATTAACAAAAAAACAAAAACAAGAAATAAAGGTACATAATGCACCTCAAACCGCAGTTGCGAAATGCATATGCAAATTAAACAATTTGCAATCTCACTCCGCCCAACAAAATAAAGTATCACTCATGAGCACAAGAGGAATTTTGTAGAGAGAAAAAAAAAACAGCTCGGTTTTTTCTTATTTTTCACACTCTCACCACATAAAGAGACAAAACCACCTCGTTACCGTGGAAAGCCTAACCTGAAAGAAAAAAAGGTTACAAAAAGGTGAGGTATGAGGAAGATGAAGATACATATGCAGAAGGGCAAAGACCGTTCAAAGCGTCTAGAAAAAAGTAAAAAAAAAAAGAAGAAAAAAGGGTTTGTAACATTGCGCCCTTTTTTTTTTGTATGGAAAAAAAAGTTCATCAACCCCTTTTCTCCCTCCCCTCCAAATATGACTCATGAGCTTTCTTCCCCCACCCTTATCCATTCCGATGATGCCCAACCCACCGAACCTGCGCAACCAGACCGAATAAAAGCCCAACCCATGAAAGTAAATAGAAAATAAAAACTAATGAAAAATGTTCAAAAGAAATGTGAAGATAGGTCTCCACATCACGAAAGGTATAATGTAAAACACAAGAAGAAAAACACCGCACACACCAAGTAATGTACCAGAAGAATAGGCTTGACGTAAGAGTCGAATGATGGGGATGATGTAGGTAAAGACGACACGATACATGTCATCAGAACAAACACACACATACACGCTGAAAAAATAATATAACAAAAGAAAAACCGTGATACATAAAAAATACAATGCTCTTATAGCTCTCTTTCTCGCGACAGACTAGGACAATCTTGGTTTGTAACCCTTTACCGGGTTGCTTTGTCGATCGTATTCGAGTCGTCAAACGGGCTAACAGTCCTCTCGGGTACCTGCGCCACATCTGCAGGTGGCCCTCGTGAGTGGTTATCAGGCGGTAATCGAGAGCTTGCTGGGGCTAGTAAATTATCGATTGCTACCGTGTTGACATCCGAAAAGGGCGACCTTGAATCTGAGAATGGTGACCCTGTGTCCATGTCTGTGATGCAACTGCTGCACGCAGACTGTGAGCGCTTGAGTCTTGAGCCTGGCTGAATATCATCATCCGAGTCGTCTGAGTCGTAGACGAACGATTCCGCGCTGTGATTCTCATGTATGGCTTTTACGGTACTAGGTCCAGCTACAGGTTTAGCTACATCCAACGTCTTGGCACTGTTCATACGACTCAAGAAGGTCTCTCCAACAGAGAAGGCGGGACTTGGCGGAACGTTCAGTACTGTTGGCTGTTCCTCAATTTCCTTGGGCTTTGTTCTGCCCTTCTTGCTCTTTATTTTCACAAGAGTGGGCACAGGGGGAACCATCGATTCCGACAACGGCGAACTACCCTGGCTGCTCCCCGACTTGACCGTGACTACAGCAGCTTTACCAGCACGGATGATATTGGGTTGAGATACCACTGCATTTTGACCATAGATAGTTGTTGCAACGGACGAACGATTATCATTGACAGTGTACATGGAACCGCGCAAGATGTCGTCCGCAGAGAATTGGAAGTCGCCAGCCAAGGGTGATCGAGGATATTGTGAAGTAACTGGACTGGTGGCCATACCTGGAAGAGGTGGAACAGGCGGGACGAGGTGAGATGGAGTTGAAGGGCCGGAGCGATTCGTGACTCCAGGGATATACGCGATCTGGATAACGTTTGACGCACGGGTACGAACGGTGGAAGCAATCGAAGCGACGGTGTGAGTAGAAGCCTACGTTATTATCAGTATGCTGTCCACTTAAAAATCCAAGCTTGGTGATATGTACCCTAGCGCTCTTCAACATCCCAAAGTCGTTTTCCTTCTCAGCAGCGGACGCCGCCATCGACATTCTTGCCTTCTTCTTCTTGATGCAGCGGGTGTAGACCACGAACCCAATCAATCCCGCAGCTGCCAGTCCACCAAACAATCCTCCAACAATAGCTCCAACGCCGCTCGAGGTCTTGGAAGTTGATGACGTAGTTTTGGCGTTGCACTGCACCTTTGAGCAGCTGTCACATGTTTGTGCTATCATTTGGCAATCCTCGTCCGCAGAACAATTGCAAGTAGGGACAGCACAATCCTGTACACATCCGGGGTTTTGTCTGGCGAAGATGAGAGTACCAGGAGCTATATGTTGTTAGCGTTAGTTTTGTCGAGTGTTGGTGGTGATTGGTGTAAGCACTTACCAGGAGATGCAGCGGCTAGTGTTGAACCGCAATGCAATGCAAGTACCAGGAGTAGGCAGGAAGCCCTGAAAAGCGACTTTGAAGAAACCATTTCTGGTGATGGTAGTGATGCTTGGTGATGAGTAGGTTACGGTGATGTCACCTGGTGACAAGTTGGGCTTTGCGACAGAAAGGTGAGGAGTCCAAAAACTCAGTGATTTTTTTAAAAGGAGTGGATGTAGATACAAGGTCTACTAAGGGACGAACTGAGAAAGATAATTAGCCCGACCGGCGGCAAAAAAGATCAATGAGTGTGTGGGTGAAGAAAGAAAGAAAGAAAGAGAGAATCGCGAAGGCGGAGGTGGAGGTGGAGGTAGAGGGGAGGGAGAGAAAGGAAAGATGCGAAACAATGGAAGCGAGTGTGGTAAGGGAGTGGTGAGAAAAGAGGAAGAAGGAGATTGGGGAAACAAACAATGAAAATGAGCGGAAAGCCGGGTACAACAGTGTTTCGCAACCTTTTCCAGGCGCAACCGAGAAGGTCAATGCGACGTCAAGCAGTGAAGATCAGCCACCATGAAAATAAACCCTTCTCCTACGTTAAGTCAAGAGAAATGATGGAGTTTGCAGCTGGCGAGAGAAACCCAAGACCCAAGATACCTAGAGAATGATGATGGTGACGACAGCTGTGATGGGGAGGAATGTGGCTACTATTTTACTTGGTCGTAAACAAGAACGACAGTCGGTGTTTCTCTGTGGACGAGAAGTTGTGATGGGTAGGGATTGGGGTGCAAGAGGGGGGTGCAAGAGAGATATCCAGCGGTAATATGTACTCAAGCAGACGTGCCTGATTGACGGGTGAACTGGGGAACTCCAGGAAAAAAGGGAAGCCCTCTCTTCTTTCGGATGTAATCTACATGCGCGGTCATCTTATGTACATGTATATAGTATTCTTGCACCCTCGCCTTCTGTTCTAGGGGAGGGATGTGAAGTTGTCCCTAAAGATTAAGTGTGTGTGTGTGGCTCCTCCTCCCTCTTGTTCCTATTATCCAAACAATCGCTGCATCTCTGTATTCCTATGCACTGTGGCACTTCCTTCAGAGCGGCAGTGTCCCTTCTCTCCTCTCCATACGCTGGCTTGCGAGACGAGACGGAGAAAGAGATGCCAGTCAAGCTACCAGTACTGAGCCTGCCTACCTGCCCATCCCGTCACTCATCCACCCACAGGTCCCTGACAACCCAACACAGGGGCACGTTTCTGCCTACAGGGATTCTAACCCATCAATTCGCGTAGAGCGGCACGGTTCCATGGCTGAGGCTTCCTTCCCCCAAAGCCTTCGCTGCTTTTCCACAAGCTGTGCCTCGCTTGGCATCTTGTCCCCCCAGCCCCTTGCTCCATGCAAGATTGATGATGAATCCTCCCAATAATCACGCTTGACGCCCATGCGACCATCCTTTGCCTGTTATTTGACAATTTGGACCTTCATGCGGTAAAGTGCATTTCCTGACAGGTGGCTCATCCTTCCTTTTGGTCAACCAAGATCCTCGTGGCTTTCCGGAGTTTTCCAACCTTTCAGCCCCAAGAAGAACCTTTCCTCCGTCAGCAAAGCTTCCTCATTCATTCCCGGCCCTTAGGAAACGGGATTCTCGATATTGTGGAATTAATTTCCCTGTATCCCAAGAGGAAATAAGAGTAGAGTCGTTATCTATACCAAACTGCTTGGTCCTGCAGCAACGAAACGATCCATAAGTATCTCCCCTGGCGTAGACATGTGTTAAACAGCCATCAACCATGGAAAAGCAATCTGTCCAGGGACAAGCTTCATACATGTAGTTGCTTAGCTGGTTAGTCAGGCCCTAGGTGGTATGTATATGAATCTCCGGAACTTCTCATCGCAACCAGTAGAGATAATCTTAGCATCATCACCATCTCCGTCTATACGGCATGTGTATTTACAAGTTTAGCCTCCTCCTAGTCAATCTCCAAGTTCAACGGATCTCGGAAAGAATATCGAGAAGATTCTGGGGAATATCATTTCATCCTTAACGCGTATCATGTCTTCACAACATGTCCGTTGTGCCATAAAAGGGATAGGAACGATGCCGTTTTCACAAGGAACGCGTGTATCTGCCCAAGCTTTAAGACACTGGTTTTTGGGATTATCATCCAATCGGCCATATTTTTGGATCTCACACGCAATTTATCTACCCTGAAGTCCCTTCAAGACCATTTGGAGTTAGAAACACTCGAATGCACGGAATGACGATCTAAATGGACGTTATTCGGATCATTCGGACGGGATTAAACCCACACACACTTCGGCTTTGTGAGCACATATGCATCGAGATACTTCCGAAGTTGAATATAATTCAAACTTGGCCCAAGCGTCGTAGACTCGGAACGCTTCAAGATTCAAACTATCCTGTAACGCTTCCTGTGCACATGTTACAATTCAAAAGCCACAAACACCCTACCCAATTACTTGAAAGCTTTATATCATACTTGAGATTTGCAGAGAAACTCATCACCTTGCACGCCGTCGCGTGAATTGACGTTTTACAAAACGTTATCGAGAAGTCGCCCGTGCGGAGCATAACTCTGCAGACTGCCAGTAATCATCTATTCTACCTCAGTTTGGCACACATCTCGGGCTAATACGCGAGCGGGCGAGAGAGTGAAAGACAAATTTTTCTGTTCTTCTTTTCTCCATCTCAATGGATAAAGATCGCACGGGTTTGATGAGCCTAAATCTCCCGTCGTTCCCCGGATGTCTTGATCGCAAGAGTCAGCCCTAACGGAGTGATGTGCAGCAGATGGATTGGCTTTCACCTCTGATTGCTTATTTAAATAGGGCTCGGGGCTATTGCGCTACCAATAAAGCAGCAGTAGAAGATCATGTGATCTCGTAATAAAGCACGATCTTTACCTTTGCGCAAATTTATGCGTTAACAAGAACGGTAGCGACTGCGCAGATCCCTTTGCTTTAATGAAGGGTCTGTGGACCACTACCTCCGCCGTGTGCTACCCACCACCGCCTTAACAACCCCATGATCGAAATCGATTATCAGCAGCGCAGGCCAGCGGCGTGGGATATGGACGGTAGAAAAATCGAGCCTTTTAGCCTTTAGGCAAAGATAAGATCAATGGAGCAACTTATCCATATGATATTCTTAGATTAAGGATTTTTTTGATACACACGCCTCATTACTTATGGTTGTGCATTGTGGGCGCAGTAACTCAAGGTTCTTCACGATCATTTGAGATCAGGGGCGGCGACATACTAAGTATCTAAGATAATTTTTGCATGACATTGTCACACAAAATATCTAGAAAATAGAAAACTTGTTTCGACCTCAAAATGTTCAACTCGGACTTTTGAGCGCTGAGCTTGACCTGTACGGCTAGCCTTGCTCATCGTCTGAGCTCGGCAAAAAAGTCATATCGATAGGCGCCTGTATTTCTTTTCCACCGTGCACCTCTCGGATGCAAATTGTCTAACTGTAGGTACTCTCTGACCTGGTATGGTTGGACATGAACTGGCCAGCTGGTGCCACTGATTTTCTAGGAGAGAATATCAATCAATCACTTGCAATTGTGGTGCATTTCGTACCCCTACATCGCCCAGTGCCAGTATCTAGAACTTGGTTGGACAATTGTGGGAGGAAATGCACTTCGGAATCAGCTGTGTTCCTGCATACATATTACACTCACTCGCATCATTCTCAGGTGTATTCAAGGATTTGGGAATTCCTTTTGTGCTTTTAAGTTTGTGTCTCTGGCCATGGGCGAGGATCAAAATCCGATTACTTATTTATGAGAAATGAGTCGACCAAACATTCTCTGGATCGGATCGCATCGGATGGGTTATAAATCTATTGGTTTCTGATCATTTCCACCCTTGCATAAATGCCGACGTTGATAAGTCTACGACAAGAAGAGAACATGGGATATCACTCGCGCACTTGCCAATGCTGATACTAAACACTAGCCGAAACTGTGCAGTGTAACCCTAAGCCTGTGAAGAAGCAAAACAAAGCAAAAAAACCTCGTTTTGTTCCTCGTAGCTCAGAAATAATGGCAATGATATATACCGGAGGCCTTGTTACATACCGCGTAAACAGAGTTGTTTATGATTCACATGGTGGATGCTTGATATTAGCTGTCAACAAGGCAATAGCTCAACGGCCGACGGCGACCAGGTAGGTACATGTAGGTAAACCTGGCCCCCTCTCTCCTGAGATGCAGCGGACCGCTCAAAGGGTGAGTGATCACTTGTGCCAAAAAGAGTGGGGCGATATAACCTCATTCTTACTCACGGTCTTTGTTGGGGCCTACTACCTACTATTGAATACACCAAAGATATATTTATTCCCCTCTAACTCTAGACGGTCATGTATTGTATGACCTACCTATCTACAATACTCTAAAGCGTGGCACAGCACAGCCGAGAAAAATAAGCGCGATATGCGGATCTGAGGTTGACTTTCACAACATCAACAAACAGGTCGTGTACAACAACTACATCGTATGCAGGTACTAAAAATGGCAGGAGAAGGATTGGGAGTGGAGGAGGAGCACAGTTACCGGAAGTAGCATGGCAAAGGTGGTGGATCCCTGAAAAGGAGGATGATCAAACGTTGCACCTGCAGGGTTCCCGCGAGTGGTTGTTTCAGTAACGGATAACGGCTTAACCCCCTCTGGACCCGCGAAGAACGAAAGCTTGACAACACAACGACTCAAGAGAGGGGAGTCTAGAATCGGAGTGCACTGAGTTACATTATTAAGGTTTTCATGTTGTTGCTGTGCACGAAACGGTGACGGGGGATGATGAAGTGAAGTTAGTTACACCAAGGGCTCTCACTATCGTTTCGAATTCAAGGCCCTACTAACCTAACTACGACATGAACCCGTGTAGGTTATGTACTCTACTTACTTAGCTCATCGGGATGGGACCTGACTTTTCTCCAAAACACAGAAGGTCCGAAGAAGGAGTTTGAGGAAAGCCCCGGTTTTCTTTCCGCGGGGAGTTCCAGAGCACAATTGGTGGATCTGCCGGATACACGGGATGGGGCATACAGTTTGGCCGTGGTAGAGTAATAATAATAAGCTTGCAATTAATACCCCAAGCGGCCAGGAGGAGCGCATAAAATAATTAAGCCCTCCAAGGAACAAACAACAACACAACCGTCTCTGATATTGTCAACAACACTCAGTGATCGAATTGCAACAACCCCACGAGAAGAGAAAAACAAGGTTTCCGGGTTAGAGCGGGGTGAACCTAATGAAGTGACTGAATGGGCTGGGCCATGGGGTCGACATGAGCTAAATAATAGGTTTCGAATTGATTAAGATGACTACCGGCACATGTAGCTCGGGAAGATCACCATGGTGCGATGATGCTGTGCGTGGGGATACACAGCTATCACAACTGCGGCGGCGGCTTCTTTGTTAAAAGCCTTATTCCGGTCGAGCGAGCGAGTTCCTTGTATCAACGCCCTGATTTCCATCGCTTTATCCACACATAAACTCTTCTTTGGAAGTCAAACACAAGTGGCACTTGGTTCTGTTATCGTACTACCAAGACTACCTAATGTCCTAGGAAGTCAATAATAGTTCGACTCTAGTACTGTTGATACCGCATCCATACGTATATATACCCGGACTTGAAACGGAACTACCTGGGTGTCATGAACATAGAGTGATCGATGCTTCTAAGCAGGAGAGCTCTGAGGGCTAAAGAAAACTTCAAGAATATAGCGACCCCGCACTTTAGGGATAAACCCTCGGGGGTTAGGGGTCGTGAGCGCTTTTGTGGAGTTGGCATCGTGTGAGTTGCGGGGGCGAAGAGGATCAAGCTTGCACAGTACCTCGATGGTGAGGGTGGTCCTAAAGGGCTCTGATTACTCTTCTTGGTGGAGTACAACTTGGAGGTATTACTAGGTTCTTGGAAGTACTGCAGAGAGCGAGGAATTGGGTTTGGTGAAATCCTGCTGTGGTGTTTGGCGCATGAAGAGTTTGATCGACTGGCTACGACTAGCTGGATACATCCGGTAACACGCCCGTGTTCATCTTAATTGCAGGTATTAAGATGCCTAGCACCCGGCAGTACGCCCGCATTCGTCCTATCAATATGCAGTGCGAGTCCGTTACCAGCAGTAGGTTTTTGTGACTAATTCTGTGGAAACTGGGAATTAAACATTAGCATTAGTTGGTTTATTATAGGGGAGATGCAATAGGAAACCGAGGTCAATTAATAGTAGTACTAGCCAGGGGAAAGATTGTTGTGGAATGGAATAATCGTAGGGCTAGAGTGTTATCACCTAGGAGGTTGATAACAGTAGTGACACATCTAATAAGAGATTACTGTAATATCAACCATAATATACCCGCTATTTCACAAGCCAGCCCTTTATATAATCTGACTTGCCGGTTCTTGTGCCTGCTCAATTGATTTGACGCATTCAGAAAATCTTAAACTCATACTGTCCTACGGTCGAAAACTCGGCTCATGTAACTTTGTAAGAAGCTGATACCTCTCATAGACAGAATTGAGTAAGAAATGATAAGAATGTGAATCAATGTCTCCATTGTGACTCGTAATTGTGCCTCCAAGGCTCCATTTGTGAAGTTAGCGAGAACCTTTCACTGAGGACTGTGTTTTGTCGTACTCACCATCAATGGTTCGACCAAGGCTACGGCCGGTGTAATGTATGCGCACTTCTACCCTCGAACTTCCTCACTCCCTTACTCCAAAGCTATGCCAATTCAGGGCGCTTGGAGGCGGTGTCCATAGTTGGAGGAATGCGTATTCTATTATAGGAAGGTCGATAGGACATGAGGGATATGATATTATTGCTATTTTTTGATAGTTTATCTTTCCAGAGTATGCTTAGATAGACACCCGGAATGTTTTATATAGAGGTTAGGCGATATCTCAATGACTTTAGTTTCCTTTAAACTGCGAGTGATAAATCATGAAGAAAAAACGCCGGAGCGCACACACAACGCTCAATTGTATCTATAGCGAGAAAACTCCAGATCAAAACAGCCCGCAGGGCCCTGTCCAATCCTCCTGCTTGTTTTTGAAGCAGGGCTTTTGCTGATATATCAACTATGGCGAGGTGACTATTCACTTTGATTTGGTGATCTCCAGCAAGTATGAGTTTCATCGACCATTTCTTTGTGATATTATTTATATAATCAATGTGACGCGGACAAAAGGCATATACGAAGATATCTCAAGCACTTCTCGAGCTCGCTAGCTTAGCCACATGTACTAGCACCCTATCTCCATCAGGATTCAAGGCAATCCTCGCCATCTGCTTCCACCTATCTCTTTTCCTCCGCACTAGCACTAAGTTAGTACGGCGTTACATGAACCAGGGGATAAGTATTATGTATTCAGAAGGATCTTGTGGCCTCTAAACCTTTGATGGACGAAGCATCAATCTCAGGCGAAGACTTCGGCTCCGTTTGGATGCACCCCGGTTTATTTTTCTGTTTTTTTACTTCTATAGAAAATTTCAATAAACTGTGAATAAACCGAATCCATGGAAAGTGACAATAAACCAACCTGTTTGATTGTCAGTTTAAAATAAAAGAGACTGTACCTATAATTGCCTAGCGCAAAAATATTGACAAATTTTTTTTGACTTTTTATATTCAAGTCGCTTGTCATAAAAGAGGGTAATATTGTGAGAAGCTTCAAAA